TTCCGTTCCCACAGAAAAACCAGCCAAGGATTACGAGTTTGCACAGATTCTGAAGCGCAGCATCTGCCTGGAGCAGAACACGCAGGCCTGGTGTGAGAACTGTGAGAAATACCAGCCCACGGTGAGCCCAGGGCAGCAGGGATGGAAAAAATCTTGTTTATCTTCTTCCTGCTCCTAAAACCCCGCAGGCCAAAACCCCAAAATCCTGAAAAAAACCCTCAGGCCAAAATCCCAAAACCCCTCAGGCCAAAAGCCCCAAAACCCCTCAGGCCAAAACCCCCAAAATCCCAAAACCCCTCAGGCCAAAACCCCAAAACCCCTCAGGCCCAAACTGTAAAACCCCTCAGGTCACAACCTCAAAATCCCAAAACCCCTCAGCCCAAAACCCCAAAATCCAAAACCACCAAAACTCTTCAGCCCAAAACCCCTCAGGCCAAAACCCAAAAACCCCTCAGCCCAAAATCCCAAAACCCAAAAACCCCAAAACCCCTCAGGCCAAAACCCCAAAGTTCTTCATCCCAAAACCCCTCAGGCCAAAACCCCAAAGTTCTTCATCCCAAAACCCCTCAGCCCAAAACCCCAAAATCCCTCAGCCCAAAACCCCAAAATCAGCGCCACTGCCCTGGCACATCCCTCGTTGGGATGGAAAACAACCCTGGGAAGGGCTGAGGAGGGGGAAGGACCCTGTTCCTGGAGCCTCTCCTGTCCCCATCCCTGTTCCTATTTCCATCTCCCCCTTTTCCATCCCCATTCCCATTTCCATCTCCCCCTTTTCCATCCCTGCAGGTGCAGACCCGCAACATCCGCTGCCTGCCGGACGTTCTGGTCATCAACTGCGAGGTGAACAGCTCCAAGGAGGCCGATTTCTGGAAAACCCAGGCTGAGGTGGCCACTTCTTCCTGGTCCCCCCCACTTCCCCCTGATTCTCTCCCGTTTCCCCCCAATTCTCCTCGGTTCTCCAGTTCTTCCTGTTTTTTCAGCTCCCCCTCGTTCTCCCCAGTTCTCCAGTTCTCCAGTTCTCCAGTTCTCCAGTTCTCCCCAGTTCCCCATATCCCCTATTCTCTGGTTCTCCCTGGTTCTCCCCATCTCTCCCCAGTTCTCCAGTTCTCTCCGGTTCCCCAGTACCCCGATTCTCCCCAGTTCTCCCCAGTTCTCCATTTCCCCCTGGTTCCCCAGTTCTTCCCAGTTTTCCAGCTCTCCCCAGTTCTCCCCAGTTCCCTGCTTCTCTCTGCTTCTCCCTGGTTCCCCAGTTCTTTGGTTCTCCTCAGTTTCCCGGTTCTCCCTGTTTCTCCCCAATTCCCTAGTTCTTCCCCATTCTCCCCAGTTTTCCCCAATTGTCCCCAGTTCTCCCCAGTTCCTTCCAGTTCTCCCCATTTCCCCCCCCGTTTCTCCCCAATTCCCCAGTTCTCCGGTTGTCCCCAGTTCCCAAGTTCTCCAGTTCTCTCCAGTTCTCCCCAGTTTCCCGATTCTCCCTGTTTCTCCCCAATTCCCCAGTTCTCCCCAGCTCCCCAGTTCCCCCTGATTCTCCCCAGTTCTCCCCAGTTCTCCCTGGTTTCCCCTCGTTCTCCCCAGTTCCTCAGTTCTCTGGCTCTCCCCGTTTCTCCAGTTCTCTCCAGTTCTCTGGTGGTGTCCTCGGGTGTCCCCAGCATGTCCCCAGTGTGTCCCCAGTGTGTCCCCACTGTGTCCCCACGCTGACTCTCACCCCCATTCCGTGTCCAGTATTCCTTTCAGAAGGCCATGATGAAGAGGGGAGGCTTCGACATGGCCAAGGGCAAGGAGATCTCGCTGGGAGAGTGGTAGGTGGAGAAATTTGGGACCCAACAGTCCTGGGAAGCTTTTCCAACCTCAGGGATTCTGGATTTATTCCTGGAAATCTTTTCCAACCTCAGAGTTTCAGGAATTTGGTCTCAAAAAGCTTTTTCAACCTCAGGGATTATGAGATTTATTCCTGGAAAGTTTTTCCAACCTCAGGCATGTGGTCCTGGAAAGCTTTTCTAGGCTCAGGGATTGCCAAATTTATTCCTGGAAAGTTTTTCCAACCTCAGAGTTTCAGGAATTTGGTCTCAAAAAGCTTTTCCAACCTCAGAGATTCTGGGATTTATTCCTGGAAAGTTTTTCCAACCTCAGGCATGTGGTCCTGGAAAGCTTTTCTAGGCTCAGAGATTGCCATATTTATTCTTGGAGAGCTTTTCCAGCCCCAGGGATTTTGGGATTCGCTCCTGGAAATCTTTTCCAACCTCAATGATTTAGGAATTTGGTCTCAAAAAGCTTTTCCAACCCCAGGGATTCAGGGATTTACTTCTGGAAAGTTTTTCCAACCTCAGGCATGTGGTCCTGGAAAGCTTTTCTAGGCTCTGGGATTGTCAGATTTATCCTTGGAGAGCTTTTCCAGCTCCAGGGATTTTGGGATTTGCTCCTGGAAAGCTTTTCCAGCCTCAGGGATTGTGGGATTTATTTCTGGAGAGCTTTTCCAACCTCCACGTTCCTCCTGCACAGGAAGGATTTGGGGAATCCTGAGGCAGGGCATTCATATCCTTCCGTGGAGGAACTGAAGAACATCTGGATCCCCCACGCCATCAAGATGAGGCTGAGCAAGAGCAAAGAGCTCGACGTGAGCAACTGGAGCGAGAACGATGAGGTAAAGGGGACAGAATGGTGGGGAAAGGACAGGAAAAGGGACAGAAAAAGGGACAGAATGGTGGGGAAGGGACAGAAAAAGGGACAGAATGGTGCGGAAGGGACAGAAAAAGGGACAGAAA